GCAGGAGTTGAAAGTCTCTGTGGGTGCTGACCTCCAGCATCTGCCTTGTTCCTATGGCAGGTTGCCTGCAGCATTGCAGGAGGGGAGCTAGAGGAATCACAGGGACCTAATCCCAGTCTGGCTGCTTTCTGAGGATCTCTACCTCAAGCCTGTGAACTGTTTGCTGCCACTCTGGTGTTCACCTATTTATGTACTTGAAGGTATCTTTTAATCTACTTGTTTTAACAAAAATATCAGATTTTTGGTTTGTATCTCAGAATAATACTGAAATTACTCTTTGYTTGTGAAGTTTCTATGGTTTATGTGTTTTACCAGCCTGTTGAGAGACTTGGTATGATGACTTGACCCAGAGTGGTTCCTAGCAAAGCACACAGAGCCACAACTGAGCAAAATACTTTGATCAGTCCCCAGGGAGCTCAGCACTCAGGATGATTTAACAAACTTAATCCTCAAATCTGCCATCCTGAGCCTGGCAGACAGCTGCTCTTAGTGAGGAGTAACGAGGAGTAAGCTGTGAGGAAAGGAAGGTTGTGTTTGCTGCTCGGTGGTCAGGCACTCCAGGTAGCATCAATCTTGTTCATGGTGTGAAAAACAAGGTCCCAGTAGATGAATTAGTGTTTATGCTATTTCCATAACATAAAGCAGGTTTAAAAAAAAAAAAAAAAAAACAGAAAACAAGCAATCAAAAACCTGGCACGGTCTTATAAGCTGACTACAACCGTGCACATTGATATTTTCAGTATTGTGTGTGCTTGCATATAAAAATATAACTATCACACACTGATGCTAGGATAGCTTTTTAAAAATTTGCTAACTTGATGACTTTTACATCTCACTGTATTTTAGGAAACTTTAGGAGAGTAAAGGAAGCCCTAGGTTATATTTAATAAAAACCTAAATATCATAATTCAGATGTGTTGCTGTAGTTGCCAGCCAGACCGAGCCCCGTGTCTCTTTATCAAAAGCTGTGGCAGGAGGATGTGCAGATCTGTGGCTCTGCTTTAGCCTCCCCACTGCTCACTCTCAGTTCATCTTTCCTCTTTAGCCCATGCCAAAAGATTATAAACCTGMTAAAATTTATTGACTTATAGCATCTTCCACGGAGAGGAAGTCTCTTCCAGAAATTTATCAAAATGGATATATGTTCTTTTAGATGAAATAATGTCCATGTTTTGCCACAACTTACAGCTAGCTGCATGACTTTGGGCTGGTGCTGTCTATGGTGTAAGACTCTCATGACCTTGGCAGGACCAGGAGGAGAATGCAGAGCTCCCCACTGCTGCTGAGCTTGGAAACACAGGTGTGCATCAAATAACGTCTTCATACAGACATCAAATAAATCTTGCTTATTGATGACCGATATTTTTCCCCACTTAAATCTTCCTGGTGGATTAGCMGTGGAGTTGGTTCTCTGCATTCATATTCTTCCGAGTTACAATTTATTAGGATAAGAGCATAAAGAACTTGTACTCCATGAAGTGGAACGTTACTTTTATTCATTATTCCCTTTGATTCATGATGACGTGGAAAAGCACCCATTATTTACTCTGGACTTCCTTGCCATTATTTAAAACAGCAAGGCACTTGAAATTGAATTGGCAGCAAATCTCTGAAAAGAAAGCCTATTAAGACTACATGGCTCAGGTAATCCATGAAGGCCTCAGTGATAAAACTATCTTCAAAGACCAGATGTAGCTATCTCCAATCCCGGTCAAAAGTGGGAACTTGTCAAGAGTGTCCTGGAGGTCCCTGATGCCTGGTAGTATCCTCAGCACGTGGGAGCAAGGGAGAAGGGGCGAGAGAGGCAGGCCTTCCTCCTTGCAAGGAAGTCGAGCAGCCCTAATGCCTCTGTTGGATATGGATGTATAAACAGTGTTTTTCAGAACAGTTGAGTTTAATTTTGTGGGCAATATATGTAAAATAATGCCTTTTGAAATGCTGAATTATACAGCAGGTTGTATGCAAAGGAAAATGATTAAAATTAAAYGTGTTTGCTGAAGGTGAGATATTTATCCTAAATCTGAATCTGTAAGGAAATGAGTCAGTGGAACATTAACTAAACTTTTGTAGATGTTATATAAAATMGCCAAAATACTGTCTGCTCTGGACTCTAATGGTAATCAATAGTACTAATAGCAGAAACTTCTAGTAATATTTTCTGTCATATGCCCCTTTACAGAAATTCCAGTTGTAAGGAATGGTGTTCTGAATGCTGGCTAATTCCCAGCCTTGTTCATCTCCCTGGATTTCGGAGTATGGGATGGATTGAAATAGTAATAAAAATGGAAACATCTGATGAAACCATTTGGKAATGGAAACAGTATTAAATGTTAGCTATCCACTTATGGTAGATACATTTGTAATTGGATAAAGAAGGTGGAAAGAGGCTGCATTATAATTGCATGGTTGGTTTCTCTGTCACAGACCAACTGTGACTTGAGACAAAATGCAATATATATGTTGGGAGCAATCCCATTAAACAGAGCCTGCTGAGTAAACGCTGCCAGTTACAGTTCTCATATCTGGGGCTCTCCGCAGAGCCCCTGCTTTGGTCAGGGCTGCTGCTCCTGTGTGAAGCTTCCCCTTGTGCTTGATGCTGCCCGATGGGCAGCCCCGGGGCCGSCGGGGTCTCTGGGCAGCCCCCGGGCCTGCCGAGGGGCTCGGGGATGAGGGGATGCTCAGGGTGCCGAGCCCTGAGCGGGAGGAGCAGCCCCTGCTCGTGGCTCGCGGAGCTCCTGGGCACTGTGTTGTGCAGCCAACGGGCCCTGCTCTCTGAGATGCTACCTGCAAGTCAGGTAGGAAAAGCTGAGAGCAATCCATCTATTTTGTGTCCTACTTCTGTGTAAAAGGATCWTCTTGAAAGGGCCTTCCTGTAAATGCAGCCTTAAGATGCTAACCGTTCTGCCGGTGGAGTTTGCATCTTTGAAGATCAAGCACTTGAAAAGGAAACTTGGAAGTGGTAGAAGAGCTTTTTTATTTCCCAGGTGGTCCCTTCCCTGTTGAGTACTTAAATGTTTGCTAAGCTGAAGCTGTAAGWGATGTAAAACTGAGCAACACTGATGTGTTTGGACAGCTGTGTGGATAACGCGAAGAAAAAAATCTTCAAGCAGACATTCCTGCCCAAGCTAGRGGCTCAGCCTCGGCTTTCTAGCCCTGGGCCGTGGTACTTTGGCGTCCTGTCAAGGCCTCTGCGTGGTAGTGCTTGGTGCAAGGGGTCACGGCAGGAGGAGCATGAGGAGCTGCTGCTGCTGAAACTTTCCACCTGCGGGGAAGTATTTGAGCTGTTGATCCTGTCCCTATTTCTACTGAAATGTTTTTTTCCCCCTGTATATCCCATGTTTGCRGGAATGTTGTATCATTCCAGGGAAAGAGGAAGGAGCAGGAGAGGCTAGTGATGCAGAAGGGCTCTCTGCCCTGTTGTGTGCGCRGTCGACACCTCTGCCCAGCGCAGCACCGGCAGCAGCACAGCGCTCCGGACTGAAAACAAGGGAAGAGATTCAAAGCTTTAGATCGCACGAAGTGCCTTCATTTCTCATTTCCAAAGCAGCCGAGTGCCTGTGCTTTGTCCTGCCCTTCTGCCTCAGATCAGAAAGTTAAACCCTAAAATTAAAGCTTCCAGGGAATGCCTTAGCAGAAGCCTGTATTTCCTTCTGTTTATTGTCTCTGTAGGAGTAAAGCCTAGTGAATCTACAAAAATACTTGTGTTGTTCTGTGAAATGCATTTCATATGCTACAAGTACGTCACAGTATCCTGGTCAACACTTAYGCTGAACTTTTAAAATCATTTTTATTTGTTTATTTATTGGTGATGTTCCTGCAAGCTTGAGAAACGGAACCCCTCATACTTGAGTAGGAGAAACCATATTGGTGAAATCCCTGCTTGACCATTAAAGAAGAGAAGGAAAAGCACTGTCTTGTGATTTGTGAAGACTTTATACAGAGCAGCATATTAACATTTGTAGTCTTTTTGCCATCACACGACATTTATCATATTTGAGGTGCGGTTTTCAAAACCCCTCTGGAGAAAATATAAATTGCTCTCCGTTGCCTGCACATTCCACTAACCTCTCATTATTTATAAGGTTCTATAGGGTCTTTCTACAAAAACACTATCAATCTTTCATTATGGAGTACCAGAACTTTGATTCATGGTCTGAGGTGTAAATGTCTCAGACTCGTGTAATGGGATCCCACTCAGTATAACCAATTTGCTGCTACACAAGGTGCCAGGCTAAGAAATCATCAAAGAAGAAAAGTTTGTTATGCCTGTAAAACCTACCTCTTGAAACTATTTTAATCAGCCAAGCATAGGGCTAGCAGAAATTGCMTTTTTATTTTTTTAACTAAACTTAACAGAAATACTGTTTTCTTCTATTGAAGTTAGCATTAATATGGGGAGAACTTGAAGAAATATAAGATTTATATTCATTGCTTTGGAGGGCTATTTGATACTGATCCTTGAGAGTGCAAAGCGTTTCATTATATATCAAGGGACAACCCAGCAAGCACTGCTTATAGCAGTGAGGCCTCTGCTACTTTTCTGTGCTGGCAAAAGAAGAAATATTGGTAGCAACCTTTCCTGTGCAGTTGTGTACAGGAATGGCAGAGTTACAGACATAAGAATTGGAGAAAATGGAAATACTTCAAGCTGGCTCTGGTCTAGATAAAACTTACTTAAAATTGATGACTGAAAAATTCTGAAGGACATTCAGCAGTAATTAAAATCCTATTTTTAATGGGATATGTTATTATCCTGAAAATTTTATTTGTTCTATGAGAAACCTGGAGCTGGCCTGTTGGAATAGGCATGGAGGGGAATCCAAATCACTTTGAACTGAACTATTCTTTACTCTTTTTGGGGGAAGTGGGGGGTGGGAAGTGAAGTGTGGAATAGGGGTAATAATGCAAGAGTTTTTAGAGTTTCAAAATTCTTATTATTTCTATTAAGGTATTCTTGAGTTGTGCTAATGTGGTGCTAATCTACACAGCTTTTTTGCTTGAGATACTCCACACACCTAAGGAAAGCCTTGGCCGGAGCAAGATTTGCTAGAAGAATAACTGCAGGAGACAGAAGCACTGTGGTGACTGGATCTCATGAAATAGAAGATGGCTGATGGATATCAAGAGTAGCTGATGGGTGAGTTGGGATGAAACACCTATCGATTCTGAACCGTAACTGGTGAGATATGAACAGTGGATTTGAAAGCAGCCCTGGTAGGGAGCAGGGAGCAGGAGATGAGTTGGGAGGTGGCCGAGTTGGAGGTGTCGCCCCAGAGCCCTTGCATGGAGCTCGCCAGGGAGCTGAGGGCCATGGGCWGGTGGGTGGGAAGACGTACAGGGAAGACAGCACCCGCGGGTAAGTTGTGCACAGGGTAGCAGAACCTGCAGGCAGTCTGCCTTGGAGAAACAGAGCAGCTGAGATTCCCGAAGGGAGTCCAGGAACTGAGATTTGACAGAGCCGAGACTTCCACATACGACGAGTTTTGTGCCAAAACGGGCAGCTTGCACTGCAGCGCCGCGTTCCTGTTGGAGAGGAGCTTCACGCCACCCTTCCTCAGCACAGACGTCTTGTCTTCCCTTTCGCTAGGTATTTATGGTGGCTGCCATGCCCTCGCTTAAGCTGGAAGCGTGTTTCCAGTTAATGCTCATGAGCAGGCCGTTAATAGTTAATACGTTTCATTCTGTTATCTGCAGTAGTCAATTTTACACAGATTTCTTTCAAAAATCACAGTCCTGGTTTTCAATAAATGTTTAGATTTATATTGCACAAAGAATATCCACAACAAAATGAACCTTTCGCCAAAGTTAGACTTCATCCAGCACGGTATTAACTTACGATAATCTGAAGTTATTTGTTGTAAGGATTTTATTTTCTTTTGCATGCTGTTTTCCATTGTAAATTACTGGATATTTACCAGTATAGACAGCACACAAATAATTAGTATCAATAATACCTTTTCTGACTGCTTGCTAAATCTGTTTGGCTTGTGTTAGTTGAAAGAAGTAGTAGAAGGACAGTCAGTTATATTCTCTGTTAAAGGGTTTCAATTTTTTGATTGAATTTTTAAAGGTGAAAAAGATTTGGGATTTTGTCCATCGAAGCTCCAAACATTCACTCCTATTTGATTCTTTTTAGCCTTTCTGTTGGACTGATATGGAAGTTGAACTGAGCAGGAGGTTGGACCAGAAGCGCTCCTGAAATTCCTTTCCCACCTGAAATGTCCTGTGATCCTGTGCCAGGTCTGACATGCTTTAAAAGAATTTTCACTTGAACTTGATTTTTAGAATTTCAGTGGATTACGGTTTTCTATTATCTTAATATATTTTTTATCGTAATATTTTGGAGAGCTAACTGAAATCACCTAAGGTTGTATGTARAAGAAGAAAGTGTCCATGTTCTGTTGTTATGCATCTGCACAAATTGAAAATGAAAAGATCATTTTGTGTCTTCTCAGCTTCTGTCATCTTATTTGAGCTATGTTGCCGTTTCTTGAAAAGTGTATGATTTAAATAGAGTTAATGAGTCCAAAATGTTTAGTAATCATCTCTGGAGCTTGTTTGGATTGCCCTTGGTTTCCTATCTTCATCCTCGCTTTTGCAATCAAGCAGTGCATAAGACTAAATTAGCAGTGGTTGTTATTAATTCTCTCTTTTAAATCCCTTGGCATGGTCTCTCGCTCCATTTAATAAAAGCTGTAATACTTGAACAGCAAATATTGTGTAAAAGTTTCGTATTTGAAATGAATTTCCTTCAGGCAAATAGCACAAGTAAGATGATACGTTGCACTGTTGTATATTAAAATAAATATACTACTAGTTAGAATAGAAATGTTTCCTTGCAAGTAGAGCCAAAGAATGTGATGAAGAAGCTTTAATCTGATTAAGTTTTGTGTGTTTTGAAATAGGTAACATTTACCCATGTTTACTTCTCCCACTTTATGAGAAGCAGGTGAGTTGCATCTGCCTCTGAGTTGGATTTATGATTTAAAATTGAACTTCCCGAATGGTGTCTCACAATTCCTAGTTGTTTACATGGAATAAATTTCATAAGTTAATGTATTCTGGAAAATAAAGTAAGCGATGGACAGACAGGAAAGAAGCGAATATGTGATTTGTGAGAAGCTGTGGTTTCTCTGTATTTCTTTTTTTGCTTTTTTCCTTTTTAAGTTATATATTTTTTGGGGGATACACTGCAGGAAGAACAACAAATACAGTCACCTATGCAAAGAAAGAAACAAAAAGGTGCAGAGCAAAGGTGAGTTGAACAGAAGTTAATGCCTTGTTGACAGATGTATGTTACGTTTTCCCTTTCGTACAGGTGAAAAATTCGCTGGATTTAAAGTCAAAAGACTTTCTGGAATATCAAAATGCATTGTGAAATGCAGCACTCTGAAATTGGCTAGAAGAATAAGCTTGTTTAAAAACAAAACAAACCAAAAATGCACTGCCTTATCTGCTCACAGATATGTGCACTTAACATTTTTTCATTGTATTTCAGGAACTGTTTTATAATCTTTTCAATTACTGCAGAGATTGGTCAAGAATCCTTGAGAGATTCTTTGGAAATATCTGAATGGCAGAAATATTTTATCTTCCCTGTAACATGCTATTAAAATCCTTCACAAGTCTGGACATAATTCTTTATAAATAACTATCAAATACTTTCAATTTCCTTGTGCACGGTTGCAAAATCCCTTTGGAATCAAAGGTTATTTTTCAGAGTACTTTCTTACAGTTTGCCAGACTGTGTGAATCTTAAAAATGTATTGCTTGGCAGAGATTTTAGTATCGTTTCAAAATATTTTGAAATGAGTCAAAAACACAAACACAGCTGCTAACATGTCATAAGAATTCGTATGAACCTGAGCTCTGTAAACACCCATTTGCAGCAAGGCCTGCCCCACTTCCACATCGCTCCATCTGCGTGCGCAGCGCACCCAGGAAGAAGCTGCTCAGCAGTTAGACAGCAGCGTTGGACTGTTTGATCAGGCTTTAGGRTTGGAAACAAAGTTAAATTGGCAGCATAGGATTGGTCTGGATTTTGTCTAGATACGTGAATATTGGGCTGTGGATTGAGATGTTGTGAGCTAATGCAGAAGAGGCTGCAGTCTCCTCATTTTGTAGTTTCAGATACTTTTCCAGAAATTTGCCTTAGTCAGAAATTGTGCAATAAGTGACTGAATTATTTAGGAAAATGCCAGTATGAAAAGCATCATCTGAAATAAGGTGACTGTTTATATATTTTTAAAAGCTAGAGATATCATCATCTTAAATGCTCTTTATTTTCTTGGTCTTTCCAATGTACCAGATAGTAAATTTACATACTCTAAATACTTGAAATGCTGAATTGTCAGATCCCATCTTTTATTTTGTTATTTATTCTAAATCTCATTCTTCTGAGATCTCTTACTGTAATGAAAAACTGTAGATAATCCTTATTTATTTAATGGCAAACTTCATACTAAATCTGGAGATGACTTCCCCTTCTAAATCCCTTTCTCCCAGTTCCCGTTTCCAGGGGTGAAATCATTCAAACCTGGACAATCTATGTTATGGAAGAAAGTTCTGGTTTAGAATAATGCCATCATATCAGTCTTACTCACCTGGACAGTAACTATCAGTGTATTTCTCATGTCTTCTAGTCTCAGTGTTATACCCAATTTCATTCCATGCCTGTTTCATACCTCTCTAGAAATCAGCCTCTTATTGGGAGGCTGCTTTGGGGAACAGGGCTGTAGGACTGAGCGCCTCTGCGCACCCTGTTCCTGCTCGGGCCCGAAGTGCAGGGCAGATGCAGGAGTGAGGGCCGCCACTCAGCACCAACTCTGTGTTTTTGGGTGGGCAAAGGCCCCATGCTGAACAGCCCTGGTTGCCTAATGCTACGGAAAGGCAGATGCAGCCATGAGCTTGCATTTATGCAGAGCAGGTTACTCAGATCACATTCCAGAGACCTACTTAGAAAATCTCTGAAGTAAAACTTGAAGTGATTGTTAAGTGACGCAGTGAGGTCGCACAGCAGAGAGTCTTTGAAGAGGTGATTTACTGCCAAAATATTATTTCCAGTGTTGATGGATATGGCTGATTTACGAACAAGTGCTGAGATTTACATTCTAAATTTCTGGTTTATAGAACACGTGACTTACAAGACAAACGACTGATTTATTATAATGAAGCTGTAGTTATGGTTGTGTCAGTGTTGCTATTCTAAACTCTTAGTTTGAGATTTATAACTTGCTATAAAAATAGCTCTAATTGAAACTATTTTTTCTAAATAGTGCGGCCCATGTAAAGGCCTGAGAAAGGTGGAAGAAGAATCACTTAAGTCTGAATCTGATTTGGCCTCAGGAGTAGCAGTGTAGCGAGGTTTAATAGGTTGAAGATGCTTCACGTCCAGTACCACGATGTTGTGCTTCAGTCTTGAGTCCATAGAGCGGTTTCTACTCTAGGTTTTCTCAATATAGCCTTGATGAGCCCCAGTAAGTGGTACCGAATCATTATAGTGTCACGCTGCCAAGCCCTTGTTCCTGCTCATTTCCAYGCGGCCCTGTCGCTTCGTCTCTCTTTGCAGCTCCTTGTGGGGCTGATGGTGTCGGGCAGCCCTCCCCACTGGCCCCCGCAGCCCTTCTTCCTAACCTTTTGCTAGTATCTACACAACAGACGACAGAGAATGTGTGTAATTGTTAGTTGTGGGAAGGTGGTGGGAGTCCTGCACAAGGCCCCAATGAGAACAGATTAAACCATCTCCCAGCAAATATCTCCCTCTCTTTTTAATTTGTCTTATGGCCTTGGCAAGGGTGCAGGTGTGGCTGATKAAGGCATTTGGGAAGTGCAGAAGACAGTTACATGGCCTACATACAAAAGAGGCCTAATGAAGCTGCTCGTTAGTGTGCTGCATGTGCTGGTGGAGATACAGGACTGAAGTGTTGAGAAAGAAAAGTGGGAATTTTATTTTTTTAATACACAGCTAGCGATTAACCAGTAATTCARTTTAATTAGATTTTTGAGTGACTTTGCAGTGCAGGGCTAAACAAYACAAAGACACCAAAACAGTCATTTCTGTTGTGCATTTGGCATGCCCAGTTGCTGAAGGCACTGAGGCCAACAAATTGCCTCAGGTAGCATTAATAAACCCAGGAACACATTTGTTCTTGGCAGTGCAGGCAGCGAGCAGGTGCCATGTTGCCATAGGAGGTTCTGGAGGAGAACGTCTATTATTGTTGTTGAAATTGTTAGCCCCGGAAACTGGATTAATTGGGTGCAAATGTGGTGAGAAAACTTGGGTATAATTCTCAATAGTGGCTAAAAACTAAGCTCAAATATTAGGATTTTTTTTTAGAAAGGAATTAAGAAAAAAGTAACAGTGAACATGATTTAGCCACCCTTTTCAAGCCACCTGCTTAATTTTTTAATATTTAATGCCCTTTTGTTTTGTTCCCCCAAAACTGTTTAGTTTGCTGCCCCAAAGCTGCCTGTGCTGCAAGTCGCTGGTGCTGGAGGCTGTTTCAGAGCAGAATGAGCCCAAGGTCCTCGGGCACAGAGCGAATAGCTGTAAGTAGCTACAGTCTGATGCTCGTGGAGACAGGAAACTTGGACCCGTAGTCTGACTTGTGGGGCTCTTGTACTTGTGCTACCACGTTCTCTTCTGCTCGAGTCCCCTTACCGCTCACTTGCCTATAGTTTGAGCTTTGAGCAGTTGAGACTGAGGTATCAATTATGGTTTCGATACCTCAGTGCTCAGCTACGAAACGCTGCAGCATTTTTGGGGCAGTGCCTGGTGCTTGCAGGGTTGCTGCTGGAGCCAGCAAGTCCTGGAGAGTTTTCWTGGCCATTGTCACAGTCAACTGTTTCTGTTCAGGAGAATACTGAACTGCAGGTTTGGTAGGGAATTAATAGTAGTTAACAGAATTATTGCCAATAGAAAATTGCTTCTTACAACTCCCAAATGCCAGACGCATCATGCATTTGTTTTCCATTGATTTTATTATTGTTGATGATGATGATGAAAATATTTTTGAAACTATTATGATTTTTGTTTACAAGCCATTAAAATTGTACCAAAATTTTGTTAGAAATCTGTAAAATGTGTAAAAACATTGTATAAAAACGTTCCATAGTACAAATATTGTTTTGGATTTCTTTAAACCACTTTGGCATTTTGAAGTAATACAGAACTGCAAACTGCTCTAGTATTTTTGGCCATGTTTGTAGAGATGCGTGAGAAATAAG